AAAGAGTACGTTAAGCTTTTGGGGGAGTGACAAAAGGATACATCAAAATACTGTACATTCATACTACTATTTACATAATTGCCATTGGCATACCCCCCTTACAAAAAGAGTACAAGGACCCAACCCAAGACACTTAGATGGCGTGCTGATGGCGTTGATAGGTGGCTGAACCGTCACAATGGGGCGTTGTGTGGCAGCTCCTTGTCGAGCAAAAGCCAAATAGAAACAGAGTCCAGGTTTCTTACCAAATGACCAGTAAGGCATGGGTGTTGGCCGGCCAATGAGATTAGTGTATTGCTCCATGACAGATTCCCGCGATGGTCCACCCGAAAAATAGAAATCAATAACACCTCCTATTATATATCTTGTATGTTATAGGGAGTCCAGTATATACAATGTCCATACCGTTACTGTTAAGCAACAGAACACCCTGAGTCAATCCTGCTTGTTCTTTTCCATCAGTTAATGGTTTTATCTAACGTCTATGTAGATTGTCAAGGATATTCCAATCCAACGTCCAAGCAGACCATCCAGGTGGGGGGACCCTTCATCGATCAAAATCTTGAACAGCTTTGAAATGTCACCAACAAACAAATTTCTGTTGGCCTTATCTCTTTTTAACTTACTCAAGATGTCTGCTAAAAATGGGTTTCAGTCGTAAGTGTCTATATAGTACGAGGCAATTGCTTGGTATCCAAAATATTTAGACTGACCCCATCAATCAGACGCCATAGATTCATAGAAATGAAGCTAGCTAAGAACCATTTATCAATGGAAAAAAGAGTGCGATTTCTAGGTCTTCTTACTTGCTAGAGAGTCCCGAAGACAGATGGATTTTTTATCAGCTGGAGCCGGGCGAGGTGAGCGATTGATTTCCTGGAGAGATCGGCGTTAATCCCCATTTGATTAATTTGTAGCCATATCCAACTGGTCCTTCACCTTATCCATGTGATACAGAGAACGAAGAAAGACAGAAGAAGAAAGTGAGGATGAGACTTATTTCCTAGTTACCCATTAACTCCACCGACAGCAACACAAAGAAAACCAGATAAAGAAGAAACCCCAAATGACGTTTTTGTCGGTTTGATACTCTAATTTCATTAAGGCTTTAACTACACATGGGCTCCGTTGGATTGGTGGGAAATCTGACCCCAGCATGGGCTGCTGATTCTTGGAGCTTTTTTTGGTTTGCTTTAAACTTAAGATTGTACACTGATTCATAATTCTGCACGCCTGGGAGTTGTTTTCCTGGCTAAGAGGTTCAGATTCTGCAAATCGGACATGGAGATGAAGGAAAACTTTATAAGTGACGGATACTTCTCCAAAATTAACTGTTGGGGGAGAAGAAATAGAAGATGAACTTCTGAAGTAATTGTGCAGTTTCTCTCTCCATTGACTTTGTTATTGATCGATGAGGAAACTTAATAAAGAAATAGAAACGATATGCAGGCTATCATGCAAATAGGATTTTACAATGCTTCGGGGGTGTCCTTCAGGTTGGGTTCATTTAAATTTTGACAGAATTCTAACCCAAATTCGCCCAAATTGCAACCCACATTTGCTAGTGTCATGAATCAAAGCCTTTGATTTGTTGCCAAGGCCCCACCTTGAATTAGATGAAGTGACTGTTTGATAGGACCACTAGTAAAAGTGAACTCCCAATTGCACCTATAACTAGGGCTGCCAATGGGTTGGATCTACGGAACAGACCTGAACCAACCGAACCAAATATAACTGTTCTGGTTCCAAGCATAAAACTGTTCAGTCGGTTCTGGGTCTAAGAATTGTGTGCCGAATTATTATTGGTTTGGACCAGTTTTAGCTGTCCCGAACTGATTATATATTTTGTCTTTCAGGTTTTATTGTAACTCACACCATGTCAATGTTGACTTAAATTTAGTAGCCAAGTGACAAACTAGAATATATTGTTTGACCCCACAATATTATATATCATTATTGGTTACAATCAAGGTTCTAAATATTGATATATCGGGCAGTATTGGTATTGTTTTTTTTATTTTTTTATTTTTTACTTTTTGTTGAATCCGGTTCAGAGGACTGGTTTAAAGTTCCTCCACTCTTTGAACCAATCAAAACCCCGATACACCCCTACAATGTTTGGCTTTCCTAAAAATTGGGCAGTCTTTCTTTAACTCTCCCCCTTATAAGAAATAAAGAGGTATAGTTCTGCCTCTTTTCTGGGTTGCAGCACCTTCCGCCACATAGTTGAATTTGTTCAGGTAACAGCTCGTTTGCATGGTCGTAGGGTTTGGAGGGGTGATGTGTCAAGGAAGAAGATGACATTGTCTATATCACATGATAATTAAGGGCAAAGTTGACCTTTTCTTCTGTCCATCTAACTTAACAGTGAGTGAGAAGGTACGTTTAAGTCTATTTAGAAAAGTTGGGATATGTTTAAGTCAATTAGTGAAAATTCTGAGCATGTTTAAATCTTTTACATAATTTGTTACTTTTACATAATTTGCGTTAAATAATTACTTTTACATATCACAAATACATGCTTATTATTAAAGACTTCAACAACATTAAAGATGCCATTGTGAACAGATTCGTCCACCTTATATTGCAGCAATTTCCATAGAACTCATCATAAATTTTGCCCCAAAGTTATTATATAATGAATAATCCCAATTCTTCTTATTTTGGTCTCCTAAATCTATTATATTCCTAAACTATATATTTGGTTTGAAGGAAAAGGCAGGGAAAAGTAGGGAAACCTTTACAAATCTTGTATAAGTTCCCGTCTTTTCTTCCTTTCCCTACGTTTTCCTTCAAACCAAACATAGCCTAAGGTTATGTTTGGTTTGATAAAAAACAAGAGAAATAACATAAAGTTGAGAGAGTTTTTAAAGGAATTTCACACTTTCCATCAACTTTTCTGTTTCTTGTTTACTTTAAAACCAAACACAGCCTAAAATCATCTTAAAGAATAAAAAAAAAAAAAAACTAAAATTAGTTTCTTATGAACCTTTAAAAGGCTCCAAATTAATCTTCCATTACCTCTTTAACTCTTCAGCTCTAAATGACTTGATTGATTTTTACTTTTTTATCATTAGTCCACCAGTCCAACCCATCTATGTGCAAGGTTTTAAATGTATGATGGTGTCATTCCACAGGTACAGAGATACAATCATAATATGTTCCGGCCCCATATATTGCAAATGTAAATTTTAAATCCAAATATAAAAGTTATATGTATGGCGGATATAAGAAAAAAGCTTCAATAACATATCAAAATTGAGGAAAAAAAAGACTTTTTTGATAAATAGTAAAAAAACAAATAATGATTCCTTTGGTGGTTGGTTTTGTGTTGGAGGGATTCTTTTGTGCACAAACATTAAAACCCCTCCTAACATGTTTTATCCAAGGATCAAAATTTTGCAGTATCTGCCGTCTCAAATCATTCCGGCTGCATCCCAATACACTAAATATTCAGGTGTAGTTAGTCCTAAAACCAAACAGTCGGACCGATTGACCAAGAACTGCTCAGGTAACTGGTTCCATTTCACCTTAAAACTATTAACCAAAAACCATTAATTTAATCAACGACCCACTGACTCCACCAGTCAAACTATCGTCATCCAAGATAAAGCTTTTAACCGTTTTTTATTTTATTTAGTTTTTTTTAAATCAAAATGAACTGTCCATTCAAACTGGACAGTCGGATTAGCACTTTGTCTACCAGTCCAACCCAAACGCATAATCATCTGGCCAAGGGCCCAAGGGCCCAAGGTACCACTGACACCTATACAAGGTTGAGTGAAGAAACACTCATCCTCAAAGCAGCGAGTACGCAGAACCAACAGCTGGAGAAACAATAATCAGAAATAACATCAAGCCCGCAAACCCTAATCAAATGAAGTCCAAATCACTGAAACCATCGAATGGAAATGTTCCACATGGTTCATTTTATTCCAAGTTTATAACAAAAGTAGTCTTCTGTATCTCTGTTCCTAAAGGACGACTCATCTTGATTTGCATTGTCAGATTTTTCTTTTTAATGGTAAGAAACCAAAAGCCACAAAGGAAAAACCATGACTTCTACATGTATCACAATTTCAACCTGACTTTTCATATGAGAAACAAACCAGATTTAGATTGACCACAGAAAATGAGTTCTCAACATAAATCAGGTAGTAGAGTTTCAAGGGAGTTCAGACATATGACAAACCCCAGGCATGTTATTCCACGCACAAGAGCCTAAGCTCCATCCTTGACCTTGAGGTAATGTAGAAGAGCGAGCAGGCACTTGCTTGTAATCATTGCAGAAATCTTCACCAAGAAGTGTTGCTATAGCATCATTAACGACTGATTGGTTCCCATTCTCAGTACTCTGCTCAAACCAATCGGTACCTAGCAAAGCGTCCGGCCTAGAAAGGTTTGACCGATTTGAGATTTCCTTTTCTCCATCTGGGGTTGAAACATTTTCAATTGTTTCTGGCTTAATCCTGGATCCTGCAAAACATGCAAGAAACTGCACTAGTAAGGCAACCGTTGTTACTTACTTTTACCCTTTAGGCTCAGTTTGGAAAGAGTACAAATACAAATATGTACAGTACAAATACATACAAGATAATGCAAAATATAAGGTTTTGCACTCTACAAATTTGTATTTGTACTCTTTCCAAACTAAGCCTTAGGCTCAGTTTGGAAGGAGTACAAATGCAAATATGTACAGTGCAAATACATACAAATTACAAGGCTTTGCACTCTACATATTTGCATTTGTACTCCTTCCAAACTGAGCCTTAATGAAAAACAAGGGAGAAACATGCTGACCAGGTATGATGTCACTGGGAGTGGTCTCATCCAAAGAGCTTCCACTGATAGGAGTGCACTCACTGAAAACTGAGGCGGCTGAACGACCCAATGGAGAGATGGGGTCGCTGTATTCTTCCCATTCTGTGTCGCACAGGTTCAGGCTTGAGCTATCCACTACATCACTGGGTGTAACAACAGAAGAATTCGAGCTTTTCTCAAATGAATGATTCTTTCCGCTGCTCAGATTCTGTGCCTCATGAAGTAACGCTTCCAGTAGGCCACTATTCCGTGGTGAAAGACAATCTGACTGCACTGTCCCAGTTGGTGGGGGAGATTGGATAAATGTATCAACAGACTCAAGCGAAGGTGGCAGGAGAGTAGATGTACCCCAACCACCTAGGTCAGTTTCTTGATATTGGAGTGAAGGGAGCTCCAACTTCATAGACCCAGGAGTGGGCTTAGAAGCAGAGAAATTGCCATTTAAAAGGGAATGGCCACCAAAATGCTGGGGATTCTTACTACTAGGGTCAGGATCATATGGAAATGACATCCCACATGGCCGATGAATCTTCTGACAATTATCACCCTGAAACTGTTCAAATTCTGGGAACCCATTGGTGATACTACCATTATAACTCGGAAACAATGCCTCTGATTCACGGAGCCGCTTGGGGCGATGCATCATTGGAGGCATGAAGCTGTAGTTTGGGGATGAACCTGGACCCTGTGTCAGCATGCTACTCATGGAGATGTCTGGAAGTGCTGATGGAAAAGATAAAGCCCCTTGATTTGCCTTGAAATTGTCAAATATGACATCGGGAATCTCATAGCTGTTCCCTTGCAAGAGATCATGATGCCGTTTTTCTCCACTGTTGACTTCACCGGAGTTCTGACTTTGCTGACTTTCATTCAGTGCTTGGAGACACAGCTCTGGAGGGTAAAGTGGCAAACCAGCCCGTTGCCGTCTCTTGATTCGAGTATTCCAATAATTCTTTATCTCATTATCTGTACGCCCAGGCAACTACCAAGAAAGAGAAAGAAACATAAACTCAGCAAAGGAATAATGCCCTCACAAAAGCAAGAAGAATGGCACATAAAAACAATCAAAAGAAAAGTTAAAAGAGAATGAGCACTTTATTTTAACTTTGATGTCCTACAATGGATTATTACTTTTCACTTATATTAAGCTTTTACCATCAACGAGATATTGCTGCACACTATTTGTGCAAGTTACTGAAAACATATATGCATATCCTATGGTTTTATCTCACTTAGTCATCAAATAAAAAGCAATCATATTTTAAGCCTTTATGGTTGAAATAGAGTTGGTTTATACTTCAAATGTGATAAAACTTAACACCTGCAGCCCATGGTCATGGATTAAATTGGAAATTGAACAATTTGGAGGTTCCAAAATCGACTTCATTTTTGCATTTGGACTTCTTACCAAGCAGCTTGTTGTCAAGAAGGCTGCAATATACTTGTTGCTTTATTTGATTAATGTTACAATAACAATAAGGCCTTGTTTGTTTACAATTACAATTTCATTTGCACTGGAGAAAAAGAATGGGACTGCAAATTCTTGTTTACTTTTTGTTTTATGTTTTACTTTGTTATGTTTATTTCCAGTGCAGACGAAGAAAAATATATCCCGAAGCAAGGTAAACCAGAACTCACAATCTTCTCATTTGCACTCTCAACAAGTAAGTGCAAATGAAATTACATTGCAAACAGAGCCTAAGGGACAAACCCCATTTACAAAAAAATATACACCTTGAGGCTCATCTAAAGCAATGGCCAAGCTCATACATTTTTTGGGAGGTTCAAGGAAAGGCAGAAGGCAAGAAGTAAGAATAATGGATTAATAGCAAGTAGACGTGGAGTATACAATATATTGTGTTATGCTTAGGGAGTGGAGGATGCCATTTCCAAGTCAAACGAAGGGAGGAGGGGGGGGGGGGGGTCCTCCAGGACTCACTCAACCAGATGGACACTTGGTGAAGAGGAGGGGCTGTGGCTTTCTTGATTATTTGGTTGCAGTGTAAGTGTCTAGTTATAAACCTCTCTAGCTTTCTTGTGTGGGGTCATCATAGGGTTAAAAACTACTAATTTTCTGATAAATCAAGGACTCAAGGGAGCTTGTAGGCTCCCTTTTCTTTCTGACTTTTTTTTTCTTTCCTTCCTTTTGCCTCTCTTTGCTTCTCCCACTTGCACAACTCTCCTTCTTTTTGGTGGTTCAATTATAGAATTTTTTTCATTCACCTTTTTTTTTATTTTAAGTGTTAAAGAAGAACCATATGCTCTTTTGAAATTCTAAAATCAGATAAAGCATACATAGCTTCTCAAACCTCTAATTAAGTTACCTCACACCAATTTAAAGAGCTCAATCAAACAGTTTTAGCTTATTATTGGTTGAATCAAGAAAGAATTCCAGAGTGAGAAAAGGAATCCCTTTCTGTGCAGAGGGCAATTGCTTGGTTGAGAGGGTGACTAAAGATTATTAAGAAAATTGATGATATCTCTGGAGGTAATAGAGTTCCATCTAGACTATTTATTGTTCTTGTTTTCCTAAACCTACTGGTAGATATTTAGATTGAACTCCCATTGGCAATTTTCAGACAATCAGTCCAAAAGTAGTCAATATATTCAAAAGCAAATTCTTGAGTCTTGATTCACCATGACCCATGAGTCAACCCACAATAATAAATAATTATACTTCTATTTCCATTTCTTGCAAGTTATTTTATTCTTATTTATTTACATAACACAATTTATTACCTCTAGCTAACCATTCAGACATCTTCTTCTATACAAACTTAAAGCAGTACTTTGTATTTTATATAGTCAAAGTGTCAAACAAACTTCGACATCATACAAGATGCAAGAAATTTAGGTTCCTGTTTTCTTATCAAGAAAAGAAAACAGAAAATAGAAAGAAAGAAAGCTCTACCTATTTGCTAAGAGAAAAAGGTCACCAGATGTTTGCCAATAACTAACATGCTACAAATACTACAAGATAACTCTAAATAATATCCTGACTTCCATAAGACATCTCAAACCCCATGCAGACATGCATTAATCACAGAATAAGAATATATCTATAAATGAAAATAATAAAGCTTAGAAAAGGAAATTGGGAAATTTACAAACCAGTACGGTGTGTATTAATTTCCTATGTGAGGACAATTTAGTTGTTCGCACAAAACTACTGAAGTTAATTGATAAATATTAAAATTGAATGCAACGTCAGGCATACTTTCACCATGTATGATATATCATCAGTGTCCAACTCAAGTAGAGATATAGTATACTCTTTTGCAAGGCAAGCGGAACTTATTAGTTCATTAGTGATTTAAAAAAAATGGCAAGCATGGAATTGAAAACCACTATGGAGAAAATATCAGGAAAAGGAGACATGCATACATGTGCAGCCATTCGAGCCCATTTGTTCCCCATCTTGGCATGGAGTTCAATTATCAGCTTCTCTTCTTCCTGACTGAAAGCACCCTTCTTTAAGTTCGGTCTCAGATGATTTGCCCATCGCAGTCGACAGCTTTTGCCACAACGAAAAAGCCCTGAATGCTTCTGAACAGCATTCCAATTACCTTCACCGTGCTTCTTGACATAATCAACCAAAATTGCATCTTCAGCTGATGTCCATGGCCCTTTCTTCAGAACAACCCCTCCATTCATGCTTCCCCCGCAGCTACCTTCATCAATAGATGGTGAATCAGTCTGAACCTTCAAAACCATACTTTCTTCACTCTCATTTGTTGAACGACCCATCTTCCTAAAGGTGGTTCAACATGCAATCCTTCCAATTATTCAGAACCTTCCATACGGAAGAAGATCAGTCTGAATGGAAATGAAACCAGAAAAAGAATATGTATTAGAACTAAAGAAAAACAACCAGACTCTCAATTCTAAAACCCCAGAGAGATCCCATGGTAGAACACACACCCTTACCAGAACATCAAGGAAAAAGGAAGAATGACAGAATAAAACAACGAGGAGATCGATAATTAAGAAAAAAGAAATATAAATGACTTCCAATAAAAACTAAGGGCAAAAAATTAAATTATATTAGGAATTATAGAAAAACTACAAAATCAAGTTGAATCATGATTATTTGATCATCTTTGGAGTCCAAGAAGAAAATCCTAATTGATACGCAAAAGGAAGGATGATTACTGATCATACCAACCCAAAAGAATCCAGGACAACAGGTCCTCTGCTCTATCAGCCCAACAAAGAAAATGTGAACATGGATTTCTAGACTAAAGTATACCCATTTCAGAACACCCAAAAGACAATCTTGAGATCAGATCATCTACGCAAGAGACCTCAACTTCATCAGAGTTTCTTACTTCCGATCTCGAAACTCTATTTAAGGAGAAAAGAGAAACAAGTGACTTCAGATGCCAGTGCCATCAAATGACAGATTGGCCCCAGAAAACCCAACAAAGAAACTTGGGGGAGACAATACGATCACAGTAGAGAGTGAAAGTATTCAACCGAATAAGAAAAGTATCAAAATTAAGAATAATAAAGTAACCACTGCGAACCCCTAGTATCAAAAAGAAACATGTCAACATCCCAAGCGCAGCTCTATTAAAGATAACCGAATCATCAGCCAAAATGGAAATAACCTGAACAAATCGAGACTAGTGCGATGGCAGAATCCAGAAAAACGACCATAATTTTACAATCCGAGATTCAAACACTGAACACTTTCAGGTGCCGAATCCCAGAAATCATAAACGAATCCAGAAACGCTCTAGTAACAAAATCCAGCTCAGACCAAGCTACCACTCGAGTTGAAAACCCCAAATTAAACCGAAACCCTACGAATTCATCTCAGCAGATTCCACAAAACGCCAAATTTTCGGTATAAAAAACAAAGAAAATCAAACTGGCAACATTAGCAGCTGCAAACGAGAAAAAAAGTACAGAAATGAAACCCCATAATCAAGAAATTTACATCTGGAAATTCTCTTACCCAGAAATGGATTCACCAAAGAAGAAATCGAAACAGAGTAAAACCCGCAAGCAAAACCAGATCCCAAATTCAAAAACCAAAACTGCAAGCAGTCTGAAGAAAGAAAAACATCAAAACAAAGAAGCAGAAATGAACAAAATGATGATAGACGGAAGGAAGAAGGGATGCTGCTTTAGAAAAACCCTAAAACTAGAAATGCCGAGAGAAGAGCTTAAGTAGGAGAGAGAGAAGAGAATGAGACAGGTGGAGGAGGAGAGAGTACCAGCTTAATCAATCAGAACTCAGAACTCAGAAGCCAGAAGCCTGAAGCTTCTTCCTTCCCGGCTCACGCTTTCATCTGAGGCCCTGAGCAGAGAGAGAGTGTGTATGTGTGTAAAATGTCATCTGTCATGCATCAGTGCCTGAGAAATATATAAAGAGAGAGAGAAAGGAGAGAATTTTAGAGAGAGAGAAAGGTGGGAATTACGTCTACGTCGCTTCTGGAGGAGAGAGAATGACTCGATCAACCCAATGGAATGGGACCGACTCACTCTCATCTCCCCCATCCAACCTCTTAAATACTCGCCCTCCTCTTGTCCTTTTCCTCGTTAAAAAAAAATTAAAAAATTAATTAATTAACAATAAATAAAAGAGAGATATATTAATTAACTTTATTTAATGGAATTAATAAATTATTAATTTAATCATCGTCATCATAATTGGGGTCGCATTAATGGACAAAAAAATATAAATAATATTTAATGGGTCAATGCGGAAAAATCCGAAACGTAGTAGCTTCAGAGGGATTCTCTCGTGTGGGTCCCACTTGATCATCCGGAATCAGCTAAAGTGCACCAGTGGACACGTTAAAAACACCTGAAGGGCCCCGGGAAATCCGATCAGGTGAGATGAGATGCCTCTCTTTCGAATTTTGAAGTTCGGAGATTGGGTTCGATTTGGATTGTCACACTGGCGGGTCATCTGCTAACGTGAGCCGCGGGGGGCTCCGGGAGGAATCAAGTGTACACGTTGGGATCATGCAACGCTGTAACACACACTGACTGGGGACAGCGCTAACGTGAGCCTTAGGTGTTGAGCAGGTAACACGAGATTGGATCATCATGCAACGTTTTTTAACGTGTGGGGTGGCTAATGTGTGCTGGGTGCGCAGAGGCTGTGGATGTATTTGACTGGCACAGTCCTACTCCGACGCGCTCGCTTGACTGGGATTCAATTTTGGGCCCCACATATCGTAGGTGTACATTGATGTCGGTGTGAGGATTCTTACGATCGAAACGCGTACGGTTTTGATTTTAAATTTTTTATTTAAAAAAATCCAAAAGACCCGTATAAGACACGGACTGGTATTTAAAAAAAATAGGGATAAATAGACTGTACTCCCCTTAGAAATCTGAAATTGCAGCCACCTCCTAATCTATTAGTAGCCTTATAAACTGCATCCTATCCATGAATTTAACATCAATCCACATTCAGGATTCAGTCCACCCCTAGAAATCTTAGCTCCACCCTAAGGGTGGACTGAACCGTTAAAACTCCATTAAAATGTCAATGTTCTATGTTTTTATAAGGTATTGATTATTGAGATTATAGAGAAGAATGTTGTGGGTGAGTTTAAATAGTGCCATGTTGGAATTTTTTTACTTTTAATTTAAAAAAAACCACAAAATTCTGAAGAGGTTGAGAACCAGTATGAGCCATATGAAGTACAAGATAATACAAATTAGAATGTTTTGTATTTACATATTTGTATTTGTACTTTCTTTTTTTTAGTTAGTATTTGTACTTCTTTTAAACTCATATGTACAGCACAAATATATACAAAATACATGGTTTTGTACTCTACATATTTGTATTTATACTCGTTCCAAACTGAGCCTATGTAAACGCGACCAACAATGTGTTGTGATTCACATATCCAAATTGAGAGAATAAGATGAAATGGACAACTATGTTTTAGGTATTATAGAATAGGGTTTTATCTAAAATTCTCCTTCCCTTTCTTTTATTCTCTTAAACATACCTTGACTTTTTTTTTATACCTCTAGCCTCTAGAGACCCCCTATTAGAGATCTGCCATTAAGAAATTAATGCTTTTTACAAAGCTATTATATTAACCCTCTATTTCTATAAGCCTTCTTCGAGTTCTCTCTCTCTCTAAAGTTCGCTATTTTCATAAATTGATTCTAACAAACTTCTTTTTGTGCTTTTTGTTTTCATTGAAGATGTTAAGAGTTTTTTGTCGGATTTGCAAAGAAAAGACAAGCCCGATTCCTTTGCCCGGTCTTATAAGAGGTGATAGAGTTGTAACGCCTGCTCTTTTCTCTTAAAAATTTCTTCTTTAGTGTAGATATTTCTAATGACGCTTGTTATAGACAAATCAATTGACAGGAAATACAAGAGAGGTTATGTATGGCAACATTATCATGCCAATTGAAGATAATGAATACATGCTCAAAGGATTTGAAATCTTTGTAAATGACATTAACTACTTAGTAAATCTCAAGCACATTGATTAATTATGCCCCTTGTATTTGTTTCTCTCAGAAAATGGAATACTAATAGATACCTGTTCATCATGCAATGAAGAGAAATCTTCAATGCAAAACTAGAACAAAAGAATGAAGGAAGATGCAAAGATCAAAATCACAACTAGAGCCATTAAAATTGAGGAGGAAAAATTAAGAATCTTGGACTTTGAAACATTGGCAATGATAGGTTGTTCAATTAAATCAAATTCAAGTTTGAGGTAGATGAAAAGTAGGAACCTAAGGAGAAGCTTAGAAAAATATGTCATTGGTTTTATTAAGTGAACAATAAGGACACACACAAAGAAGAGTAGAGAAGCAATTTTAGCAACATCAATTATGTCATCAAGATAATTTGGAGTAAAAAATCATTTCTAGGTGATGTTTGGTATAACTTTCGTTTATTTGAAAAATGTTTGTACTTGATTTATCTTCAAAGTTAAGAAAAAGTGGTTGATAAACATTTATCTCCCGCTATTTAATAGCTAAGTGCAATTAGATGTCATTAAGCGCCACATAAGCAAAACACTAAATAAACACTTTGGTGTTAGGAGAAACGTTAAAATGAAGCTTCTCCTAATGGTTGGCTTACACATAAACTAGGACAAACATTTATTTGATAAATAGGCTTACCAAATAGCATTTTGGAACAAACACCACATGGGGATGAGATAACACCATTTTTCAAATAAACGGAAACCATACCAAACACCATCCTAATGATGCTTGTCATCAATAAATCAAATGGCAAGAAATACAAGACAAGTTATGTATGGAAAGATTTGCTGGATGATGACATTACCAATTACAGATAATGAATACATCATTAAAAGATTTGAAACATTTATTATCCCTTTTAGTACTCCTTTAATCTCATTGTAAATAACATTAATTACTTAGTAAGTCTCCAATACACTAATTAACAAATACTTATTCATTGTGTAATTCAATGCAAAAACCAAAACAAGAGAATGAAAAATGAAGAAGATTCAAATATCAAAATTACATCAGTAGACATTGAAATTGAGGAGGAAGAATCAAAAACCTTGGGCTTTAAAATATTGATGATAGCAGATGACTCAATTAAATTGAATTTAAGTTCCATAGTAGTTGGAAATTAGTGTTGTAAATCTAGGGTTTGTATGAGAAAGAAAGAAAGAAAGAAAGAGAGAAAGAAGAAGAAAAAAAGGAATGTGTCGAGTGGTGTGTTTTTTTGTTACTGTTCACACCCTCAAAAGGCACTTTATATTTTGAAACACAAAATTACAAAGAAGCCCTATTTGGGTGCCCAAATACAAAAAGAGTACAATGGGAAGAGGTAAAGAATAAAAACACCATTGCCTAAACTTTCTCAAGACTCCCCCTCAAGCTGAGCATATATGTCAATCATGCCCAACTTGGCAAGATTCTTAGCAAACTTTGGGTGGTGAACACCTTTAGTGAGGCAATTAGCTAATTGGTCTTCCAATTTTACAAAAGGAAAGCAAATCTCTCCACTAGCAATTTTTTTTCTCTAATAAAGTGTTTGTCCACCTCAATATGCTTTGTACGATCATGCTTAACAGGATTGTGGGCAATGTTTATGGTTGTTTGATTGTCACAATATAGTCTCATTAGGATATCCACTTGGATGCCCATCTCTACCAATAAGGTCTTCAACTAGAGTAGTTCAAACACTCTATGAGCCATTGCCCTATATTCTGCCGTAGCACTAGAACGAGAAACCATAGATTGTTTCTTACTTCTTCGTGAAATCACATTGCTTCTGACTAATGCACAATAACCAGATGTTGATCTTTTATCATCAATGGACCATGTCCAATCTGCATCTATATAAGCCTCAATCTTTAAATGGTTGTGGTTGGAATACAATATCCCTTTATCAGAGCATCCTTTCAAATAGGTTAAAATTCTATCAACTATCTGCATATGAGGGGTCCTAAGTTCATGCATATATTGGCTAACCACTCCAATAGTATAGGATATGTCAGGTCTAGTCAAACAAAGATACAGAAAGTGGCCCACCAATCTCTGATATACTCTTCTGTCTAGAAGAGCTTCTCCTTCAGTAGCACTCAACTTGTGGTTGGGATCAATTGGAGTTTTTACAAGTTTACACCCTAATTTCCCAACTTCATGAAGCAAGTCAAGTACATATTTCCTGTGTGACAGAAAAATTTCCTTCTTAGATCTTACAACTTCAATGCCAAGAAAGTATCAGAGATCACCAAGGTCCTTAATCTCAAATTTGGAATCAAGGAAGACTTTAACTATGAGATACCTGTGATATCGTCACCTGTTATAACAATGTCATCAATATATACTATCAATGTTGCTACTCTTCCAACAACTCTTCTAATGAATAAAGTGTGGTCTACTTGAGATTGAAAAAACCCAATCTTTAAGATAACATTTTTGAACTTGTCAAATCAAGCTCTAGGAGATTGCTTGAGCCCATACAAGGACTTCTTCAAGTGACAAATTTTTCCATCATTGTTAGGAAAACTCACCCCAGGTGGTAAGTCCATATGCACTTCCTCTTGTAATTCCCCATTGAGAAAGACATTCTTCACATCCATTTGATATAAAGACCAAGAGTAATGAGCAACAAGAGGCATGATCACATGAATAGAGTTCATTTTAGCAACTAAAGCAAAGGTTTCCAGATAATCAATGTCACAAGTTTGTATGTATCCTTTGTCTACAAGCCAAGCTTTGTACCTCTCTATGCTTAACAATGTAGACCCACTTACACCCAATAGGAGTCTTATCCTTAGAACAAGGAATAACCTCCCAAATTTGGTTCTTTATTAGGGCATCCATCTCTTGGTTCATAGCTTCTTTCCAAGGAAGGGATTACATTGGCTCTGTAACATTGTGAGGGATGGAAATAGAAGAGATGACAGAAATATAGGCACAATAGGAAGGTGAGAGAGCATTCTAAGATACATAGTTAGTAATAGGATACTTGCTACATGTCATCTTCCC